ACATTATCTCAAATTATATTATATTATAAAATATCAAACATTACCTTAAAATTATCCAATAAAAATAAAAGTAATTTGAATCAATACAATTTTTTTTCTCAGCAAAAAAAATTAAAATATTTTAAATATAAAAAATCGTGAAAAATTGATTTAGATCGGATTAGGCTTAAAAGTTAAGTACAATTTTGGTTAAAATGGCTTTTGTCACCGAAACCTTAAAGCGAATAATTTTAAAAAAGTTTTTTATATTTACTTTTTAAAGCGAACGAAAGTAGACCATGTTCACTTCTAGTGGGCCATGTCTAGACAGGCAGAACCTAATGATTGATGTAATGTCAACCGCAAGATCGTTGGGTCAAGACCAGACAATGGAGCTTCAATTCGCACCACTGTTTTTTCATTTTTTGTGTGTTTTGTTTTAAAAATATGTAATTAAAAAAATAATTAAAATCGAGGGGCGAGTGGAAAAATGGGGGACAGGTATATAGGTACGAGAGGACACGATCTTGGGTGGTTGTTTGAATTTAGTGGACGAGAAAGACTGGCCCGTAGCTTTCACAAAGCTACCGTGGGACCCACCCGGCCTTTCGGGTTTTAACAATTTAGTGGCCGAGCAGTTTTTCGCTTCGCTCTTCAACACATGGGCGGCGCTGTCAACGCCTCACCGGCTTGTATCTTGCTCGCTCCCGTCGGGTTGCGTTGCTACCAACCCTAACTCTGCGCTCCTGCTCCATGAAAACTACGATGTGGCCTCCTGCACGAAAGAATTTTTTTTCATAAGAATTTTTTTAAAAAATATTTATAAGTAATAATAAAAAAATAAAATATATATCTTTTGAATCACCTGCTTGACTCATTAATTTTTATTTCAAATATTGTATTTTTTAAGATATTTATTGAATAAATTCAAAAGTAAAATTTATGGATCCACGAATTATTAGATCATATCAGGTGAGAATAAAGGCCATGAAATGATTTATTTTTTTAAATATTCAACATTTTAACACAAAAAATGTACTAAGAAAAAAGCAAAAAGGCCAAAGGGCTGAATGGAAAATCTACTACTGTAGTTATAGGGAGATTATCCAATCACGTTGTAGTATTAGATACTCCCTTGTGATTTAGACCACACAAGAAAGAAACCTCTCGGCATGGATAAAGACCATAAACTAAAATCGGCGTAGAAGAGGAATTGAAACGAGACGATTAATTGAACGGCCTTAGATAACTCACCACACATATTGCCCAACTCCACCCGCCAGACAACTGAGCTCATCTCTCTCTCTCTCTTTGGAAGTCAGTCATATTGTCTATAGTTTGGTTGCAAAAAGCAAGCATAGGGAAGAAAAAAGAAGCAGAGCAAAACATGAACTCATCATCGTCGTCACCGAATCCTCCACTGCCTCCAGCGCCTCCTCCGCCGCAGTCTTCCACGTCCGCTAACGCCGCTGATGGGTCCGGAAAGAAAGTCAGGAAACCTTACACCATCACTAAGTCACGTGAGAGTTGGACTGAAGAAGAACACGACAAGTTCCTTGAAGCTCTTCAACTGTATGTTCTTCTTCTTCTTTATTTATTTTTAAGTTGAAAACTTTTGGTCCAATTTTGTTCTTTTTTGAAAAATTAAAATGAATTACAAGTACCCAATACTTCGATTTACTGTTTTCTTGGGTTTCCAACTTTCCATCTCCTTTTTCAGTCGGCAATTTACGCTTTTCTTGCTGTTTCTTAAATTTAATTCTGCTGTGTTGACTAGTTTAGAACTTGGAACGTCTTGAACTAGTCATTTATTGAGATAATTGTGAACTGGATGCGTTTTATGGAGAAATTTATCTGCAAATTTGGTACTAAAGCTGAATTTGGTACAAGAATTTACCTAATCATTACTATAAAACTTCCTTGTCGGTTTGTGCATTGAACCTTGTACAAGGATGCCAATGGCAATACATTTACTTCCTTTTTTTAATTATTATTATTTTTGTTTAGGATATGATTTGCAGCTGTTGCCTTGTTCTATTTGTGTTTTATTAGCAATTTGAACTGTAAGGATCAATGTTGTCTTGTAATAGAAAAAATTCTTGTTAGCATGATTTGTATATAAGTAGTTTTCTATCTTTCTTCCTGACTTAGGTTTGACCGTGACTGGAAAAAAATTGAAGATTTTGTGGGTTCAAAGACAGTTATCCAGGTTTAAAGACAACAATTGGATGTTGTGAGCTAAATTTTTAATATTTAATCTCCTTTTGGTTCACTTTTTTTAAATGAATGCTCGCTGCCTTTTCAGATTCGAAGTCATGCCCAGAAATACTTTTTGAAGGTCCAAAAGAATGGGACAATTGCACATGTGCCTCCTCCTCGCCCCAAGCGCAAAGCTGCTCACCCTTACCCGCAAAAGGCGTCTAAAAATGGTTTGTTTTGTTAAGGATTGTGATGATATACTAGATTGAAGTATTAAGGTTATGATTACATTTTGACATGCTTTTAAATTAGCAGTTTTAGTGTCCTTGCAAGCATCCATGGCTTATCCTTCTTCAATAAATACGATAGCACCTGGATATGCTCCATGGGATGAAGCGTCCTTGTTAGTAAACACTGCCCCAAGCAAAATCATGCCACCACAAGATGAATTTACAAGGCTTCAAGGAGCTGAAGGCATGCGCACTTCTCTCTTTTTTTTTTCTTTGTTATAATAGTAGTAGACTAGCTTTCCTAAAGGGAATATTCCAGCACTTCTTATGCATACAACATTACTGATTCAGCTGATATTGGATCGAAGGGCGTAGCAAGGATTAGTAACGGTGGTGTTAGTAGCATTGGAAGCTTAAGTAGGACAATATCTAGTTCTGATATGCCAAACCAAGGGAAACAAGCTCCAATGCTTCATGGTATTTGTGTTGGCCATAATCAATTTTTTTTTCCCGTTTACTTTGTTTGTACTTGATGGTATAGGTCAGCTTTATCTTTGTTTGGCAGGTATACCTGATTTTGCTGAAGTTTATAGCTTCATTGGGAGCATCTTTGATCCAGACACCCAAGGGCATGTGCAAAAGCTCAAAGAGATGGATCCGATAAATTTTGAAACTGTGAGTCAAATGGCACTTACGTTTTTATTTCAACAGGTCATATTTGAAGTATATATCATAAATGCCCTAATTTACATTATATGATGTAGAAGGTTTAAAATAAAAATCAGAGGAAATACTGGTCGACATGACCTGGTTTTTGGTCAGTAGTGACCAACAACCCCTTAGATAAAGTTTACAAGCAGTGTATAGGAATAAATGCTGATGACGTGTTGATATCTTCCTTTCTAAGGTCTGGACTACACAATGGGAGTATCCCCTGGTCTGTAAATTCATTAAAATAGCAATGGGCCCAGATAAGGTTGTTGATGTTTTGTGAGATTCTTAGAATTTGTTGCGTAATTTGGACTGCATGGTACATATAGCCTTAACTATTTCTTGGATTCTTATATAAGCTTTATAGAATCGTCTTCTGCATTCTCTCATGGATGGATGTGGTGAAAGGCTGGTCTTTCAAATTTAATTTCACGTGAGGCTATAGAATAAGTAGTTACATTTGAGTATTGCTATCAATACTAGAGGTGCCTAATTGGTTTATCATGGGAAAGCTTCTACAAATTTGTTTTAAGAACAGCCATCTCTGCATTCAGAAGTTTTCTGATTTCACCTATATATCACAAGAGATTTCTTTGATGTTTGCCTTGTAGCATCAGAAAACTAATTGAACATGACTTTTGATTATATACAATCTCTGCCCCATGAAATTTCCTTGTTCTAAATGATCCGGGTTGCTGTATGTAATTCCTTTTTGTGACTTTTTGCAGGTTTTGTTACTGATGAGAAACCTCACCGTTAACTTGTGTAGTCCTGATTTTGAGCCAATCGTAAGTATTTTTATGAAGTTAATGTTTATGCTTTTCAGACATTATTTTTCTGTTCAAATTTTATTGACTCGGGAAAATAGGCGCTTCCAAATTTCTTTCTTTTTTTTCCTTCATTTTGATATAAAAATGTCTACTGATTATGTTGCTACTAAAACATGATTTCTTCTACAATACTTGAGTACTCACATATTTCAATTCCTTCTTGGTTAATTGAAGGAGAACTTTTTTCCTCATCAATGAGCATATTTTCTTTCCTTCTGTTTTTTTCAATGACTGTTCTTTGCTGCTAGCTGATGGATCTCCTTGGTTGTTGCAGAGGAAAGTTCTGTCCTCATATGATGTCAGCACAACAACAGTGGGACTTGGCACGGGAATTATTCCCCAAAGCCAAACGAATGATATATCATGTTAAGCTGTTTATTATGTAGGACTTGCAGGCAAGTACGTGCTTTTCATTTTTTTTTTCTCCTTATCATCTATATTTTCATTACAACTTCCTTTTGCTGCATCAGGATTGTGATTTTTGTTTCCTTTGACTGCTATCTTAAATCTAAAGTGTCTAATGAAACTTGGACAGCACGCTTGGAGGTTACTAGGTGAAGGAGTTGCAACCACCACCGGGAGAAAATGTTAGAAATGTTGAGTGGAAGAAAGGTTTTCTACTACAGACTTTCAAGCTCTGTAAGGGTCTCGATGTACAGCGAGTCAGGTGGAATGGTTGTCACCCGGTTTTGACCTATCAACCAGATAATTGTGTATATTCTTGTGAGGTTTGTCAATTAGCCGTTTTACCTTATTGCGAAGAATGCCTAACAATAGAAGTGAAACTACAAGAACTTGAACATATCTGTAATAAAGATCATGGTTCTGCCTTGTGAATGTAGCTAGAAGGATCTCCATGGCAACATGCTAGATTTCTTAGCTATTGTCATATATTGGTTATTAACACGTATTCCACTAGAATATTATCTCTCAGTTTGACTAAACTTTAATGGGATCGTACCAAGGTCAAAGGCGCGCATGCTGCTGCTCTCAAAGGCATTCATGAGCTCATTAAAGATCCCCCTTGCTCGTGGAAGGAAACTGTTTGTGCTGATTGATTTGCCAACTATAGCAGGCTTCTCTGGAGGATTTCACTTATCTGGTCTCTCCTCCCCAGACCGTGTCTTTCGCCATTTTAGCAGGCAGCTTGGAATCCTGTACATATAGTTGGCGCCAAGCTGCGGTTCTTCTCCCAGTTCCTTTGTGCTAATATAAGCTATTATACCAAAAACCAGTTGGAAGGAAAACATCATAATCATGTACTAATTTCCACACTGAGAGTGTCTTCATCTTTTCCCTTCTCACCAAACCTCAAAACTCTTTTTGGCTAGTCAGAGGCAGCGCTTATGCCACATATAAAAGGAGTGATTTTCCTTTGGGGACAAGAATTTGTAATAACAACAACAGAGCTTTTCTCACTATTTGGTGTTTAATTAAATGGATGGTATTTCCTTTGTTGTATTACATTAATATTTAATATCATTTCCTATATATTTTTTTTTTCTTGATAGAGTTTATATAGAAGTAAACATGAATGGCACCTTTGGTTAGCGAAATGACAGTTATCTCATGAAAATATAATATAAAAATTTTATTTTTTTTAAATTACCTAACAACGGGCCTTGGTCTGCCCAATATATACTCTTGACGCCCATGTCGTTTTCTGGTTCGGACCATCTCGGTGTCCCTTTCTGATACCCGTAAGAAAACTGCCCCGACCTGCGGCCATCAGCAGCCACTGATTTGCTTTCGCCCTCATCCTTCCTATAGTCTTCTGGAGTCTCCAGTCAAGTTTTTCACACATTTCTGCGGGACATTTCTTCAATCTGTTACTGGACAAAGCAAAATATGTGAAGGAAAATCTGATTTGCTGTTAGTGTTGGTAAGATTACATCTCTGTTAAATCAATGAACGGTTTGGGGTTCAGCTGCTTTTTCTCAGTTATTTCTGTGCAAATTCTAGCCTCTAGGGTTGTTTATTATTTTTCAGATTAAGGCATAGCTCAAATCGCTTTCTTTTCTTTCCAATTCCTTCGAATATTTCATTGGGAAAACAGTTTTAGATCAAGCAAATTGAAAATGTTGCAGCATCAGATAGTGCAATCCCCAGCCAGGCTGGGCTTAACGAACCCCAACTCACCTTCTCTGCAAAACCCTACCCCTCCAAAATACCCTTCTTCCCAACCCCAGCCGCAGCAGCAGCAACAGCCTAGCTCCACCAATCTCTCCACCACAACCACCTCGTCAACGCTCCTTTCTCTTCTCCCTCCACTGCCCAGAGCACAATCCCTCCTCCTCCAAATGGCCTCCTTATCTTCCAAACTCTTCGAAGTCTCCCCGAATCGTGCCCTCTGGGTTTCCGCCTTTCGCGGATCTGTCCCTTCTTTCCTCTCTTCGCAAATCCAATCAACGCCTCCCCCTCCGCTTGAATCCACCCCAACTTCAACCAAAGAAGTCCTCTCCTTATTCACTTCCCTCCAAACCCAACTCTTCGAAGCCGTTGCCCAACTCCAAGAAATCCTGGATCTTCAAGATGCTAAGCAGAAGATTGCGAGGGAAATTAGGTCCAAAGATGGTGCAATTCTTGCTTTTGCTAATAAACTTAAAGAGGCGGAACGGGTTCTTGATATACTTGTTGATGATTATTCTGATTATCGGCGGCCTAAGAGGTTGAAATTGGAGGAGGATGGTGGGGGGGATGATGATGATTCTTGTACCACAACGGTCGCATCTCAGTTGAATTTGTCGGATATTTTGTCGTATGCGCATCGGATTAGTTATACTACTTTTGCACCTCCGGAGTTTGGTGCTGGACAGGCACCTCTTCGCGGGGCACTCCCCCCTGCTCCACAAGAGGAGCAGATGCGTGCTTCTCAGCTGTATGCCTTTGCTGATCTTGATGTCGGTTTGCCTAAAACAGTTGAGACTAAGGAGAAAGCTGTCGAGGCAATCATTGAGCCACCACCTGCACAGCCTGTGGATACCAATCCACTTGCAAATTTGGCAGCGCTTCAGGGTTTGCTTCCTCCAAACTTTACAATTCCATCAGGCTGGAAACCTGGGATGCCGGTGGAGTTGCCAACCAATCTGCCTGTGCCACCACCTGGATGGAAGCCTGGGGACCCAGTGCCACTGCCTCCGCTGGACTCCTTGCCTATACCTAGGATGGAAGAGCCACACTTGCGGCCTGTTCCGCCTCCAGGATTGCATAAGCCACCTGAGCCAATCCAGGTGCGACATGTTGAGCTGGATATCCTGGATCCCGATGATGATAGCAGTGATTATAGTAGTGATGACGGAAGCTCTGATGATGAAGATTGATAGTGTGATGGTTTGAATCGTTGGTAGTTTGAAGTACTTGAAGTAAGTGTACTTGCAATATGAAACTCATAATTTTAGGAACAAAATGGAATTCTGAGTTTCATTCATGTACCCCAATGCTAAGTAATTTGCTATTTGTAGAGTCCTTTTCACTAAAACCCATCTGAATTCCTTGAGTTGGAAAATAATTGCATTTCCTAGATATATAATTATTTCTTGTCATGTATCAGAGTTGAAAATGAGAAGTATTTGGCTTTGTTTTACACTAAACATTCAGTAAAACGTCCTGCATTCAAGCCATTGATTGGACATTATTCCTGGTAAACAATAGATGGTGCTAGGAAAGGAAAGCAATTCTTTTACCATTATTCGTTACAGAAGCATTGATGGGATATAGAAAGTTGCGAGAACTGTTACTTCTGTGAACAAAGAGCTACAAGTCTGCGAGGGTTGCATACACTTGGTGCTTACAGACACAACAGAGGTGATCTTTCTTGCAGAAGGTGCTTTAAGGTCATGTTTGATATTCGGTAACGTATCAGTTCGCTTGGCATATTGCATACATAGAGGACCAAGACTCACATATCAGAAAAAATCTTCGCAAATCAAAATGTTTTAAGCTGATGATGCAGCTTATATATATTGATATCTAAAGGGGTAGAAGATGTGGATTTTAATGCTTTCGGAAGAGGATTTGGAATGAAATGTCTTTAAAAGGCTGTGAAACCAGAAATATGTAAATAATGGTAGAGGAGGAGGAGGAGGAGTGGAGAAGGTAGATGAATTCTGACTTCATTTATTTATTTTTAGATAATTGATATTGAAGGTGTGATAGTTCATATTGAGTTTATAATTCCACTAGTTTGAATAATAAGAAATTAAATTTAAAAAAAAAAAAAGAAAAACCCCCAATCTTGCAATATTCAGGAGTTAATATGAAATTGAATGTTCCAAGTTTCAACCTGATTTTTTGGAATGAAAAAAGGCAAAAAGCTTGGACATGGTCAATCTTCAATCATTCTATATACGCTAGGCTGGTGTTGAGCCCATATTGACATATCATGGCCCATATATTATGTTCGGGTGTAGCAGCCCAAACTCGGACTCGTGGCCCTGTTCCCTGGTAGAACATGCTAAGCCCCGGAACCAAACAACTGGAACCCTACCATATTTTCTTAACACATCCGCACTCCTCAAAACCCTAGCGCCCCTCTCCTTCTAACATTGTACTTCATTTTCCCCACACTCTCACTAGCCAAACCTTGAACAATGGCAGCCGCCGCTGCTGCCGTCCGCCCTCTAGTCTCCGTCCAGACTATAGAATCCGACATGGCCACTGACGCCTGCCCAACCGTCCCTCTCGCTGATGTCATGAAAGCCTCGATTCGACCCGACATCGTCACCTTCGTCCACGACAACATCTCCAAAAACCGCCGCCAACCCTATGCCGTCTCCAAACGTGCTGGTCACCAGACCTCTGCCGAATCCTGGGGTACCGGCCGTGCCGTCTCACGTATCCCCCGTGTTCCCGGTGGCGGTACTCACCGCGCAGGCCAAGGTGCTTTTGGAAACATGTGTCGTGGTGGCCGCATGTTTGCTCCTACCAAGATCTGGCGCCGCTGGCACCGGAAAATCAACGTTAACCAGAAGCGTTACGCCGTTGCCTCCGCCATCGCTGCCTCTGCTATTCCTGCCCTCGTCATGGCACGTGGCCACCGCATCGAGGCCGTCCAGGAGATGCCTCTGGTCGTATCCGACGCTGTGGAGAGCGTGGAGAAAACCTCGGCTGCAATTAAGCTTTTGAAGCAGGTTGGAGCATATCCTGATGTAGAAAAGGCTAAGGACAGCCAAGGAATCCGACCTGGAAAAGGAAAAATGAGGAACCGGAGGTACATTTCCCGTAAAGGTCCGTTGATTGTTTACGGAACAGAGGGTGCAAAGCTCGTTAAAGCCTTCCGGAACATTCCTGGAGTCGAGGTTGCCAACGTGGAGAGGCTTAATCTGTTGAAACTCGCTCCTGGTGGACACCTTGGAAGGTTCGTTATCTGGACCAAGTCGGCTTACGAGAAGCTGGACTCGATTTACGGGTCATTTGATAAGCCTTCTGAGAAGAAGAAAGGGTACGTTTTACCCCGCGCTAAGATGGTTAATGCTGACCTTGCTAGGATTATTAACTCTGATGAGGTTCAGTCGGTAGTGAAGCCGATTAAGAATGAGATCAAGAGGGCGCCTTTGAAGAAGAATCCACTTAAGAACTTGAATGCTATGCTGAAGTTGAACCCATATGCGAAGACTGCTAGGAGGATGGCCCTTTTGGCTGAGGCACAACGTGTTAAGGCCAAGAAGGAGAAGCTTGACAAGAAGAGGAAGCCCGTTTCTAAGGTATATCATTTCTGTTTTGTTTTAGTATATTTTGTAAATGCTTTTGAGCTTCTTGATGATGATAATGTGGAATTTCTGTAGCTTAGGCTGATGCCTTTTATATGTCAATTGAATTATGTAGTATGTGCTTTGACTTAATGTTTAATGCCTTTGGATGTTTTGTCCCTTGAACTGGATTGTGAATATTTATATGCTTAAATGAATCTTTTTTGTTCATCTCTACTTCTAATTGTTTGATTAATTGCTGTATTTAGATTTTTTTGTGCTTATGAGATCACTCTTTTGGATGCGGACCTCCTAGAAGTCTGCTATTTTAGTGTTTACTGGTTTTATTGTTGAGATATTACCTCTATTGACGATAAGGTGCTGTTGCTGCTGCAACACTGTTTAATAGTATGGTTGGTTGCTTTTGATTAAATCACGGCTTATGGTACATATAACTGGCATGAGGAGGGTGATACTAATTTGGTTGACTCTGATTCTTACATGTTCTTAGAGTCATCTTTTCTACATGTTTATCAGTTGTTGTGAATTTGTCAAGAGAATGGTAGGAAGTAGGACCTATTTGTTTATTTGACTTAAGTCATTTGGTTTAGTCCTAGGGTAGAAAGATGAGTTTAATGCATTAATTATTCCAATTTATGTTTAGCATGACTTTGGGCCAAAATGGAATATACTGCCAACCTTTGTTTCTCTTTTTCCTTGTTCTAGTTATTTTGGTGGTATTCAAATTATGTTTGTCAAGTTTGCATCGTTGTAAGATTCACATTGTTTCCTGCATTTGTCATTCGACATTTTACCCATTTCTTCTCTGGCATTCAATTTAATTCTTTGTTCATCTTTTGAGGAAATATTTTAGTATTAATGATTCTAGCCCACATGTTGTGTTTATTTTTTGTTTTTTAATCTCTATTGTTGACTCCCCTAGTTTTTCCTTTTGTGTTTCTCTTGGATGTTTCAGGAGGAGGCAACAGCAATCAAGACAGCAGGCAAAGCTTGGTATCAGACAATGATCTCAGACAGTGATTACACAGAGTTTGAGAACTTCTCTAAGTGGTTGGGTGTGTCGCAGTAATTTAGTTTTTGGCTTTAGAAAATTCCTGCAGAGAATGTTTGTAGCAGTTTTGTTTTGGTTTTGACATTTTATTTCCTTTGCTGTTTCAAGTTGTGGATGAGAATAGGTGGAACGAAAATTAGTGGAATGGCATGCTCCCGTGCTATTGTTTGTTTGGCCTCCGCCCTGTGTTCTTATTATTTATGGCTATTGGAATAGTTCCTTTTGAAATGAGAACAAGAATTAAATAGTTTTAAGGTGTCTCGTTGGTCTTTTCTGTTACTGAAATGTTTATTTTGCAGTGTCCCTCTAGTTAAGACTGGTTCCTATAATAAAAGCTTTAATTCATGTTTCTATTACTTGGTTGTTTCCTTTGACGCCATACGTTTGGTTGGTAGGTAAAGTGAAAATAAAGCAAGTAGGAAGGAAGGAAAAATAGGATGAAAATTGATTACAGTAGTTGAACCAAGTTTGGATTCTATAGTTGGAAATTTAGTTGGTGCTTGGTGCTTTATAATGCAATGTGAATATATTACTTTATAATATAATTTGAGTATAGGTAATGTAATTACTTATAATGATTTAAATGTAAGAAAAATAATATAGTGTTATAATATAATGTGATTATAAGTAATATGAATATTTATAATAATTAAAATATAAGAAAAATAACATTACGGTGTTTGTAAAGAAGATAGTATTATAATTTTTTATTTATTAATATTTTATTATAAATGTAATATTAATTTTTAAAATTATTTATATTTATTAAAATGTAAGTTTAATTTTTTTATTAATTTTTATATAATATTATATAATATTGTAAAATAAAGTTAAAAAATAAAAGTATTTTTAATAATATTGTAAAGTGTAATATAATTTGATTGTATTTGTTTTAGATTATAATCATAATACATCTATTGGTTATAATATGATTACATTGTAATTTTACATTACAGTAATTTATTACAAAATGAATATTATAATATAATTTAATTGAACATATTATGTCACATATTTCACATTTGAAAGAGATGAAGTAATAAACTTTTCATTACTTATCAAGTATATTTTTAAATTTAAAATGTGAATTCTTGATTTATAAACTTACTTAAAAAGTATGAAGTCAAGTAGTCAGGCAGTCCTCTTCCTCTACAAGTAGTTATAAACATGAATATTTCACCACTTATCAGATAATTTATAAATTTATTTAAATTATATTTTTAGAATTATTTGGACTTATATATTACAAAGCCCCATAAAAAAAAAGGAAAACAAACGTCTTCCCCAACTTAAATCTCCTCACAATATATTACAAAGCCCCTAAAAAGAAAGAGAACAAATGTCTTCACCATCTTAAATCTGTTACAAATCTGTAATTCTAAAGTTACCATTAGTTAAAGCTAATACTACAGTAATTCTCTAATGAGTTAACGTATCAAGCCGTGAGGATAACACGTGACTTTAACGTTAAAGCCTTGCACGCCTTTGTCCTCTTCAAGCTTCAATTCTTCTAACTTACAAACAGTTCTCTTCTTCTTGATTAATTTTTTTCATTTTGCTGTTTATCTCACTAAAAAAACATATTTTTACGTAAACTAATCATTTATTTGTTTTTTTTATTTTTATTTTTATTTTTTATAGTATATATAAATAAAAATAAATATTTTTAAAAAATTTTAAATTATTTTTATAATTTTAGTATATTTAATAAATTATATAATTAATTATTATTAATTAAAATATTATTTATCAATTTATATCATATATTTATTATGATATGTTTATATCATGTGACATATAATAACAACAGTTAATTAGTTAATAATATAAAAACTTATTTAATTTAATTAAATATAATAAAAAATTAAATTTTTTAAAAAAAGTTTAAAAAATATTATGTCAAAAAATAACTTTTTCCTTTTTTTTTTAGTTTTTTCATTTCAACTTTTTCTATTCATTCTATTTCTCTTTGGGCCAAACAAATTGTTATTGGTTGGGAGAGGATGATCTCTGCTTCAAAAGAATGAGGGGGGCTATATGGTTTCGGGCCTACTGGCCACGACTTGGAGTATTATGCATTAACGCATTACCCAATATATTCTCTGGCTGGACTGGAAGGCCACACGTCCTTTATCTTCACCAAAATCCTTAGAGCTCACAGCCTATGTGAAAGTAATGAGCCATTAACCCCCAAACTTATTATAACTTAATAGGAGGGTATCAAGATTAAGGGTCAGCTAAGCCCGAGCTTCTAGTGTTATCGATTAGAACTTAAACTAAATTTTGTGCAGTTTTGAGACTTAAAAATAAAATTTAAATAAATTTATAAATTAAGAAGACATATTTTTAATCTAAAAGAGATAGAAAACTTATATTTATATACTTAATATTCATTTTATTTTTCACTAATATAAGATTGCGACATTTAACTTGTAGCTGGATTCCATTTCCATTAAAAAATGATTAGGGGTGTCTTAGATCATGCAACTATGATTATCTAATCACTGCTTAAGCATTTTGCTTAACATACAATCTAACAATCTCACCCCAAATTAGAAACTTTTGTTGGCATAAAGATTTGAGCTCTTCCTTACTCTGCCTTAATATGTGTGGGCTCGGAGCAATATTCGCATGCCATGACGCATCGAGACCATTGAAAAAAGGACAGCAACTTCAGCCATTTAAGGTTACTATTTATGGTCCAACTTGCTCTTTAGTTAATAATTTTTTGGACACTCTTAATCTCCTCGAACTAGTTCTTTGTACAGCGCATCTCAAACTTTTCAGTATTTTAAGCAGATGGGACAACCTGAAATTGTATTAAACTAATGTTAGTGACAACCTAGGATGTTGCCATGATCAACAACTTGTCTTTTTTTCTTTTCTTTTTTTTTTCCTTTGCTTTTTGAGAGTTTGCTTGCTAATCTAATCTCCCTTGCAACTTACGCTCACGTTCATTGGTAATATAAACAGGCTAAAGCTTTTCCTGAACCTCATACAAATTTGTTTACTCGAGATATTGTACTTAGCTGACTGCAAATTAAAACAAAGATACTTTGAAAATTACTAGCAAGCTGGATTTCTCTCTGCGGGAAATTTGGAAAATCCCAAAGTAAAAAATCGCGGCATTTCCATGTGCATCTTGTTTAAAACTTCCATCATCACACAGTAAATAAATTTAGGCTGATTTTATTAAGTAGGTAGCCTAAACCTACTTACTGCCTCACATTTAAACAACATAAAAAATAATAAATTAAATTATTATTAAAATTATGAAAAAAAAATCGTAGTAAGTTCACAGTTATCTGTTAATTCTTTTGATGGTTGTTAATTTTGTTCGTAAAAGAATAAAATATTTTTAAATTATTTAAAATAATTTGAATAATTTTTTTTAATTTTTTTTATTTTTAAACAAATAAGTATTTATCATTAACAATTTACTAATTTTTACTAATTAAAATAATATTTATCATTTTTTTGTTACGTTACGTTAATTTATTATTAACGAACTTACATAATTAGATGATAATATTATATCAGTATCATATAGATATAACATAATAATTAATATTTTTTATTAAATATAATAAAAAATAAAAAAATATTTTTGAATTTATTCAGAAGCCTTTTGTTAAATAAATTAATTCAAATTAATAAAGAAACCAAACTTATTCTCGTTTGAATTTTGTCCAGCAAGTTTTTTTTTTTCTTTACTTTTTTTTAGGTCATCGTGAAGAGTTGCTTTCGGTACTTTGCATAAAGAATTTTTCGCTGATTCCAAAATTCAAACCTTAAAACTTTCTACTGCTTTTCTTATCATCAAACCAAATTCTCTTTCCAACCTTATATTTTATGTTGGTTTTAAGTGATGTGTATTATATATTCGCCTAAGAACTGTCTTGCACTGCTCTCTGCAAAGCCGAATGGAACGGAAGAAAGCAAAACTCCCGCCACCTACTAGTGGGCAAAGTGGAGGGGATAATTTCCAACTTTAAATACTTTTAACCTTTTAAGATGACTAACTGTGAAATATATTTAAATCTTAAATTTTTATGATGAATATTAAACTTAAAATTAATTAATAATTATTAAAAAATCTTTATTTGATTTAAATTCTCAATATATTTTTAAAAATAAAATATTCTCACCTCGTAACTCTTAGTTATAATTTATGTAAGTATATTAGCTTTTGAAATAAATAATCCACCTAAGAAGTGTAAATATCATTAACATAAATATGAAATGATTAAAATGTCTCTTCTTCTTTATTAATATAAAAATTTATTATTATATATTTTTTGAAAAAAAATTAAAGAGCATCGATTAGTGCTTTTCTGATTTTTTAAATTAATAAAAATTATATAATAATTATTTTTAAAATTAATAAATAATAAAATTATCTTTTCAATATTATTACGTCATCAAACTAATAAAAATATTAACGATTAGACCTATGTATAAAATAGAAGATATTTTTGAAGAATGTATTTATTTAGAAAATTAATGAAATTACTTAAAATTTACATTAAAATTTTAAAAAATAATTATATTTTAATTTTATTAATATAATTTTTTTTATCGTCATTTTATATCAATTACAGAGAAACTAATGAAGAAGCCAAAAGTATGCTTTAATATCATATTAATATTTTAAATTGATCTTCTAATTTAAAATTAATTGATAATATTATTGTATTAATTTAAAAAGACTGTAGAATAATAATTAAAAAATAGTAAAAATGAAGGAACGTGATTTCCAAAGCACATGGCGTGGGGTAAGATAAAAAAGGCACATGCTGTTTTTCGTCCATTTTTTTCGCATCTGCCGAGGACACGTCGGGCATTCTATTTCTCCTCTTCGAAAAAGACAAAATTCTCTCCTTTTTCTTATTTTTTAAATAAAAAAAAATAAAAAAGTAAATTCCTTTTTAATATTATTACCGGTTTCTTTCAAAACAAACGAGATTACGAGAGAGCCTCGGCCTAAGATTATTCGGGTGGGCCCATCTGGTGGCGTTAGGCCCACATGTGTGCACAGGTGTAACCTTTCTAGAGCGCTGGCGACGTGTACGGATGCTGGCCTCTCGAACCTAAGACAATCGCCACTCAATTTCCAAATTTTTTATTCTGAAAAAACAATCTTCTTGTTCATGGGAGCATTTCCCCTTTCGGTCATCATTTTCTGCTTTCTGTTTTTTCTTTTTTTTTTAGAATCCAATTTTACTTTCTTTAATTTCGGTTTTCGTTCGTTTGACCACTAATTTGTGGAAAAGTATACAGTTGCCACCTTGGTATATAATTAATTTATCATTAATAAAAATATTAAGAGTAAAATTTTGTCTTTTTATTACCTGAGCCTTATCAAATCAAGTAGAGGTCATAAATTGAAATTATTATACATTTTTGTATTATAAAAAAATTTTATTTTATAACTTAATTAATTCCTAATTAAGAAATGACATGGAAAAAGAAAAAGATAACACAATTGTGTTTGGGATAATTATATATCAAACAATCAATTTTTTTATTCAAAGATTTTTAAGTAGTTTCATTTCAAGGATTATTTTATATTTTCATTTGATATTTGATTTGTGATTATGACTATGATCTTTTTGTAGTCTTACACTTCTCATTTAGTACTAGACGTCTGTTTTTTTTTCTTATTACAAAAAAAAAAACCCAAAGTATTCATCTTAGATAATTATTCATGGATCATTTAGATTGTTCGATTGATTTTTATATTTATTATTAACTTTTATTAATTTATTGACTTTTTTTTATTTATTTACACACATTTTTTTTAAACATCTACACCTTGAAAATCGTCACAATTCTTTTATGTCTTGATGTCAAATTAGTCTCAAACACAACAATGAATATCCAATATAATATGTGAGTGTAATTGTAAATATTTATATAATGGTTTAAGTTAATTATTATTAATAATTTGAGTTTAAAATTTTAAGTTATATGGTTTAAGTCAAAAAAATTATTAGATCAATAATGTTTAGATTTGGGTCATTATAATTGATATAAAAATACGTGTTAATTTAGTGTGGACTTCCATATGGCACTGTGAAATATTAATCTTATGATATTTAAGTGAGTAAGATTATGACACGTTATCACACATTATATATAAAGACCCAAGTTAATCATTACTAATAATTTAAATTTAAAATTTTAAGAGTCATGTGATTTAGTTCCGAAATGCTGACAAAAATTGTAATACCCTATCTTATATTATATGTGAATGTAATTGTTAAGATTTATATAAGTTACTAATTCAATTACTACTAGCAATTTGAATTTAAATTTTTTACAGTCACGTGATTAGATTCAAAAATTATCTCACATTAAATACAAATTTTATTGTTAAATCTAAAAAATTATGGAATTAGTGATTGTTATAACATAGTGGTCATCCTACCTTCTCCAAGGATAAGTCCAATAGGGTGGGGATTTCAGCATTTAAAATAATATTGTCTAAATAGATCTTTGAACCGAACTCCCTACCATCATAGGATTACTCGTTCTAGAAAATTTTTTTTGCCCTTTTAATGGAAACCCATAGCAAGCAAGTTTTCTTGTAAGTAAACTCTTTTTTGGTAAAGATAGTTAAAGAGCTAAAGTGGTGAGAAATTTATTAACTCTTGATCCAATTACAATCCCAACATCTCAAGCCTCTTAACTCTTTTCAGCCAAAAAGAAAAAAGGAAATTACTTTGTTTCATCTTCAATGCTGTCTAAGCTTAACATATCTATAAATAGCATGTTTTGCCAATATGTAAGAATCAGCCTGTTGATATCAATGAAAAGGATGTAAAATTAACATAAAATCAGTGCATGGTGGCCAATTGGTGAATATGGTATTTATGGGGAAAAAAATTCATTAATGTAATTTTGTACTCATTTAAATTTAACAAATATAGTGTATTGAATATATTTGTGATATTAAATTCGAATATAAAGTTTTTATCTCTTTTCAAAATTTTATATTATTAAATAAAAATATTAATTTTTAAAATTAATAATTTATCAGACATTTAACGTAAAATTAGAAAAAAAAAACATAAATAGAACATCAAACGACAACAGGAGAAGGGGAAGAATTTATGTTCATTTGATTTCAATTTTTAACATGTGATTGAAAGAAGCATTAATCAACTGGTTTCTTTAAGAAGCAAAAGAAAAATGCAGAAACATGCAAAGTTTTAATGAGGGGACACTAGCAGGCTTTATGATTAAATAACCTTAAAGTCTAAAGCGGGTGGTTCATCAGGGCCGTCCAAAACCTATGAAAGTACATCCAGATGAGCGACACGTGTTGGATGAGGGTGGTGGGGGGGTCGGTTTTCTCTGGCAACAGTCGCTAAGCCTAGGCTAGCTAGTGCTAGTCTAGTCACCACTCGATTACCAGCTTTGAAACCTTCTTTCTTTTTTTTTTTGGTGTCCCCTTCATTATTATCTCACCCGATCTCCCACCAGCCTGAAGTAGAACCCTCTCCTCTCTTCTCTTTCATTCATTATCAAAACTTTAGCTCTACCTAAACCAATAAGAACCATCTAGTACTGGTACTATCAATTATACCCATGCAAAAGCAAAATGATTTTGTGGGTTGGTGTTAGCACCCTTTGGTTTTTCTCCCTTTGATATGAGTTTGGAGTAATTAAGAAAGGGCTGATGGAGTGGATAAAGGAAAAGAGAGGAGGAAGTTAAACTTAAATTAACTATTGTTACTACTATTTTCCATTTTTTGGTGAAAACATAAACTATTTATGAAAGCGTGTTAGTTCATCACAGTTGTGTATATAAAACAGAACGATGATTACTACCTAGTACCAAATCCCACCATTTCCATTTTGGATTAAGAAGGAAATTTTATGGGTTTGGAATACTACTACTAAAAGAATTTGTTGTTTGGCCATTTAACTGGAAGGTTGGCTAGCCGAATATTTATCATTGTTTTAAATTTTAATATATTTTATATGAAAAATTTAAAATTTTTTATAATATATATTTAATGTTTTTTAATAGGATAAAAAAAATAAAACATAAAAAATAATTTTAAATAATATAAAATAAAAGTATTAGATGTTTAAAAACGTTATTTAGGATGTACTAAAAAGGAAAAATAGATAAAAAATAAAGGAGGTGTAACTATTTTATTTAGGAAAATCTTTGTCTTTTAATATTCAATTTTGATGTGTATATGCCTACCTTTACATTGCAAACAAAATTATTAAGAAAAAAGAGGAAGGAAGGGAGTGAGAGTGAGAGAGAGAGACATAGAATGGAGGGGGTTTTAAATATAATTTAAAGAAAAAAAAAAGAAAAATGATCCAAAATGGCAAAACAGCAGCTACTTGTTCCCTCATACGTCTCATCTTTACCTTTTGAGGGACCCTCCCCTACCCCTCCGACCCTCGGCCCCCTCCCCGCTTTTCTCTCTCTTGCTCATTGTTGTTTCCTCCCTCTCTCCTTTACAGTCACAAACCTCCAAACCCTCCAGCCAACAAACAAATGCTCCCTCTCACTTTGTCTTGATTATCTCCTTCCTTCCCTTCCCGCAACTCACCCACCCAGCCTCTCTTCTTCGTCTTTTTATACTTTCAAGTTCTTCTTTGTTTTCCATTTCAGTTTTTGTTTTCTTTTTTGGGAACTTAGTTACGATGCTGGATCTTAACTTGAGTGTTATTCTGGGTGGTGATGATTCAGTTGGGATGGCGGGAGAGGCGCTTCCAGACTTTTCTGGTTATAATAATAAGCAAATGGAAAGTTCCGGGAGCTTCGATTCTTCCATCGTCAACGCCGACACTACCACCACTACCGGCGACGATGACTCATCCTCTAACGCCGCTGCCGCCGACACGTTCGCTTACTCCTTCGGCATCCTGAAAACCACCGAGGAAACGGAGAACAACCACAGGACCATCCCGCTTTTCCCGGTCAACGTCGAGGGAGGTGGCGGGAAGTCAACGGGATCGTCGCAGAAGGAATGGCTGGATCTCGGTAAGTCCCGGGAAGCTTCGGAGCAACACTGTGGAGCCGCGGAGCGGAGGCTCGTAGCTCAGCAACAACAGCAGGTTCAGTTAAAGCCGCAAGTGAAGAAGAGTCGACGTGGGCCCCGCTCCAGAAGTTCTCAATATCGTGGCGTCACGTTTTATCGTAGAACCGGGCGATGGGAGTCTCATATTTGGTTAGCTCTTTTACATTTTTATCAGTATCTTAACCAATCCTTGATTATTGCTAGTTAATTTTGCTTAACTGTAGTATTTAAAACTTGTTTTTCTTCCTCTGTTTTCTCATTGGCTGTTTTGCCTTTTCGTTTAATTTAATGCAGGGATTGTGGGAAACAAGTGTACTTGGGTGAGGAGCATTTAGTCCTTGATCCTTCTTTTGTTTCTTTTTCCTTTTCAAGAGGCTTAAAAACTGTGGGTTTTTAATCATAATCTGTGAAAATCTGGCTGTTTTTTACTTTCTACAGGGGGTTTTGACACAGCGCATGCTGCAGCAAGGTACAATTTCTCATAAGGATCAAGGTTATTTTTGGAATATATGCTGAAATTTTCGGGGTTATTATTATTTATTTATTTATGTATTTCTTTTTTAAAATTTTTGTGGGGTGACAGGGCATATGATCGAGCAGCGATCAAGTTCCGTGGAATTGATGCGGATATTAATTTTAATGTTACTGATTATGAAGAAGATATTAAGCAGGTTGGGATTTGATTTGTTTAATATAATTTGTGCTTCCTGAAAAATGATACAATGAATTAATTTAAAGAGATTTTTGGTTCTGTAGATGAGTAATTTTACCAAGGAAGAATTTGTGCATATCCTGCGAAGGCAGAGCACTGGTTTTTCAAGAGGAAGTTCCAAATACAGGGGAGTTACATTGCACAAATGCGGCCGATGGGAAGCTCGAATGGGCCAATTTCTTGGCAAGAAGTGAGTACCCTTTGGCTAGTTTATGACTGTTAATTCTATCTTTCTGTTTGTTGTATTTAGTTATATTAATTTTTAACCTGTTTAATTTTGTTATATCTAAAATGGTAAAAGATGGCTTGCATATGTTGTTTTAAAATAGTGAAAGTAAACTAGGATGTTGAATCATAAATGAATTGGGTCACGGTAACATCTGGAAATTTTGATTTTTATTGGGTTAGTATACATTCCTTTCCTGCAGGTATATATATCTTGGGCTATTCGATAGCGAGATAGAAGCAGCAAGGTCCTTAAGATCATAAATTCAATCTCCCTTGTAATACTATCAATTAATTGATTTCCCAGCCAGCTTGACTTCCAATTCTCCTTATCTGTGTTTTGATTCTTTGAAAATCAGGGCTTATGACAAGGCTGCCATAAAATGTAATGGAAGAGAAGCGGTTACCAACTTTGAGGCTAGCACATATGAGGGGGAGCTAATCTCAGGATCTGAAAATGGAGGTAATATTTGTTTTTAGGAATCTGTCATGTGAATATGTTTATAAACAATTCTTTGAGTGTCAGTGTACAGTGAATTCTCAACCCTCTTGTTACAGGCCGGAATCAAGGTCTTGACCTGAACTTGGGCATTGCACCCCCATACACATCTGATCCCCTAAAGGAGAATAACAATTCAGACAACTTTGCTTTCCAGCGTGGCTGGGATGGCCTGCCAGTTGAGACAGGAGCAAGGGTAATGTCAATCATAATTTCAAAATTACCCACGGGATTAATTCAGCTCTCTGATTGTAGAAGGCACTTAGTTGCTTAAAAAGCTTATATTCTTCCTTTTCAGATTGACAACTCTGTTCCGGCAACAATGAGGGTTCAACCTAGTCTTGGCCAGGAAATGGCATTCAAGCACCTTCAAAACTGGAATGGTGCAAATCCGAGTTTCTTTCCTGTTTATAGGGTAAGCTCCACGTTTCTGTGGTTAGTCTCTGAAATTGTTTGATCATAAACGTGAATTTTGCTTTGAATATAGTGGGTTCTTTCATTCTTTGGCCAAATTTGATTTTTGAACATTTTACAATGCTACTGATTGCTGAATAATACACTTCATTCTATTCTTTACTCTTCTTCCACCTTACATAATTTCCACTGGCAATGAACTATTATGAAAATGGAAGTGATAAGTTTGAAGCAAAACTAATTCTAACCTGTAGAAGAGGTTATTGTAGTAATCTAAACAACAATCTGGTGTTGTAGGTTTAATTATCAATGATAGTGTTTTCTTATTTCCGTTTGACAATGAATGATGTATATGATAATTTTAGGATTTACTGTCCTTTTCTGTTTGCAGGAAAGAGCAATAGAGAAGAGGATGGAAGGAGATTATGCACCAAACTGGGCATGGCAATTCCAAGGCCTTTATGGTGGGGCAAATCCAGTGCCACTCTTCCCTACTGCAGCATCATCAGGATTCTCGTCTTCAACAATTACTACCCCATTAGCTGCTGCTGGCCAACTTCGCATTCCTAACACAACATTCCTCCACCACCACCATTTCCCTCCGGCCATCACAAACCCTAACATCTCCCATTTCTACTGCCGGAGCTGAGTAAGGTAGAATATGGCCACCATCTCATATCTTCTCTACCGAATGGATAGAGTTTGGGTAGGCAATCAATGAAAATATTAGAAGGGGTTACAGGCTTACTGAAATTGATATAATGGAAGGCGGTGCATAAAAGGGCAAATCAATTGATCGAGTTCATCATCGCATGTAAAAGCCTCATCAAACTGGTGCATTTGGTTTGATGATCATGATCAAAATTTGGGTCGATTTGAGCCTTGGTTGAATGGAATTACTGTTATAGTTCCAAACCTTTGTTTCCGTCATCAATTTTGTGGCCGGCAAGATATTTTCAGGCTTTAGAGTACAGTAGGCAGTGAGGGAAAGGAAGATGTTAAAGGCCCTTAGCATCATTTGTTTCTCAATGTTCCGTCCTAACTAAAGGAGATCGTGAAGGAAACACATAGTACAATAAAAATTCAGTTTTCACAGAAGCTTTGATGGCATGAAACCGCCAATGTTTATCCAATCATAATCCCCAAAATGATAATAATTGGTTAAAACTCAACAACCCCATTAACAATTTAACCCAGCCTTCATATACTTCGGTGAAAATGGCGTGTTCTTTGTTTATATTAAGACAAAGGATCTAATCATGGATTGTTCCCGCCAGCTGGTCAAGCTGGGGAAAGACAAGAAAAAGGGGAAATCTCTGACTGAAAATATTTACTGGCACTTCATTTTGGACTTTTGTGAGCCAAAAGTAGTAAAGAATAAAGAAGAACAACATAAATAAGATTTCCGCATTCCTCGGCTTTGCTCAAGGATAGTACACCTGCAACTGCAAAAGGAAAATGGTAATCTCTGTATCATGAGCAGCGTGAAAAGCCTGGTGTGTATTATACCTTTGCATGTAAAAATCTAAGAAATAGTTGGAGTTTGGAAGCTTTGATTATTCCAGGCTATCAAGTTCCGTTTCTCTCCCCTTCCTTATCCCAGTTCCAGGCTGCTTCTCTCATCTCTCTCAAATTTTGTCTGTCAGTCAGGCTTCACAACGGCTCTTCTGTGCCTTCCCTCTTCATCGTCTTTCTTACTGTGGGTTTGTCGTTGGGCTCTACGCCAACCTGGATTTAAGGCCTTGGCCCTTGGCTATTGTCCAGGGTTCAAGGGTTCAGTCTATTAACCATCGGGTTTTCATAGGGTGCCAAATTCCATTAGGCCGTTTCCACATTGGATGTTAGCTTCGCCCCAACCCTTGTAGACAATGCCATTCAATGCTCCCCTCCTCACCCCATTTTGTCTAGGATTTTAATGCATGTGCTATGGGAGCAAAGGTTACCCTCCACGGAACCCACCCTTCTGCTTAGGAAAGTCATGCATGATTAACTCATAGAGAAATATATTATATTTTTCATTTTTCTCCAATTTTTTTGTTCTTTTTTTACCTTTACGAAATTTTATAAATATTAACGACATCAGTATAGATATTTAAAAAAGAAACATAAATTTTAAGACATCCGAAACAAATAAATGAACCGACAAAAAATTTGTACGATAATATTGAAGTATTAATATTTTTAAAGATTGTTTTGACTGATTAATGATTATGTACTGGTGTGAATTTGTAACTTATATATAGTATAACACAACATAATAATTTGTTTATAATAAAGTTTATATATATTAACCAAGAATAGAACATGTTAATTAGTTCTAAATTACTCCCATCTCCTTTTTCCTAAATAATGTGTGTTTAGTCATTGCATAAAACCCTATATTTAGTAGTACAGCTGAAAGAAATCGGTACATATAGCTAAATGTTACCTGAAACAGGGAGAAGCTGTCTCCTTATCTTTCAGTGACAGTGACTCTGCCACTTTAAACTAAACATTCATTAATGTTTATATCCACTTATCTTTCCTTTCTTAATTGGGCCTTTGCATCAAATTAATGCTCTTTGATTGTTTTGTTTTCTTTTTCGTATTTGGAATGGGGAATAGAGGGAACAAGCTGTGAAAATGAGCCATCACACCACATAGATACATCTGCCAGCAATCTCTTTGTCATTTAGTTTTCTAGAGACAAGCAGTTGTCTGTATATTATTGTTTGAGAGAAATAGATTAATCATAGGTTTGGTCCATTTCTTTTCATTTCATTTCAATTTCCAGGATGCATCCCTGAAAACCTACTTGGTAGACGGGAACTCAGGATGTAGGACGGTTAACAACTAGAAGTTCAAAGCACGGATATTGTTTTGGAAAATTTCCATGCATATCCAAGCTGATATTTTGGTCTGCCGTCTGGGCCACTGCACCACCCTGTACTGTCAGGAGGGGAGAATGCACAGCTTTCACCGTCCTCCAAGGCATCAACATGACCCACGTGGTCCACACTGTTTTGGCAGCTAGAACAACAGGGCTATTTCTGCCTAACTCTTTTATAAAACTTTCGTTTTTCTGTTTGTTCGCGTCATTGGCAGTGCAGTAAAAGGACCAAAAATCAATACTAGTAGGTGTCTAGGGCATAGTGTGCAAGGCCATAGTATTACTCCCGCTGTAGATTAAAACGCTGAAACATGGAAATTCCTGGTTTTAGGCCTTGGGTTTGGCTGATATTGTGAAGGGGTAGGGTCTGCCAGCAGTAACTGCCCCTTAGTTTTAGGTTTGGAACTTGGCGGAGGAAAATATCATAATTGCACTTTCTAGGGTTTCCACGTGCTGTGGGGTAACCAGTAGAATGCCTCTGCTAAGGTTTTTCTTGCTTTGCTGCTTTAGTTGGTCTTTAAACTTTTACGTACTCCTATATAAACCTTCAAAGATTTATTTATTTATTTATTATGGATGTGATGACTGTTAGTGAATGGCTTGAATATTTTAACACACGGTTAATCTTCTCAAAGATTAATTGTCTCTTTAAACGAATCGAAAAGTTGGGTTTAAGATAATCAGAAGCTAAATTATGAGTTAATCACTTAGATTTAAGAACAATAAGCAATGCACCTTTAACTGCACATTCACCTTTTAAATTAGTAGCTGTACTAGTGGCAGATCTGGGTGAAAAATTAATGCAAGGATGAATTCTTCTTCTTTCTGTTCTATTGCATATTGAGTTTTCCTTTACTGATACTAAAAATAAAGGCCAACATGCTTTTGAGAAGCATTACTCCAGAGTCCTGATCAACGAATTGCTGTAGCTGTATAGATTATAGTACCAAGAATTTTTTATTCCCTAGAACAAGTCTTGTATTCTATAAATACAATGGAGGAGCCCATGCCACCAGCTTGTATGTTCTCCACGTTTCTTTTTTTTCCTTTCCATTATTCCTCTTCTTCTCTCCAGGAGAAGAGAGAAAGAAGGGGGCAACAGTGATAGGCCCCTTGATTTTGTTTTTCTCTTTTCCTTCCTGAAAATTGATAGTACACACAATTTGAGGTTCAAATGGCACTTATGTAATTACCCGAACTCAACTCAGATGTAAGTGTTGGATACGAGTATCAATGCATTCATATGAGTACGTTGCTTTTCCCTTGCTTTACTACTAAATCAACCAAGCACCATCATAAAAGATTCAGGGGGTAAAGTTTGGCATCAAAAAAGTAGTAACCATATTTGCGGAGTACGTGCATGAACATGCAGGTTCATAACAGGAATATTGAGGGGGTGAGAGCAATAGAATGTGGAGAAAGCCTGAAACGTACAGATACGGCCCCGGCAGTATTAAACCTCTCATTGGATACTTTAGAGTACTGGCTTGGAAACGTCGTTGTCAAGCTGGGCCCCTTTGCATTCCTGCTTTCAACTGTGTATCTGTGAGTTTTATTTTTATTTTTTGTGCCTTCATATTTGAAGGGGCAGCTACAAGTACCAAATACATTTCTGACTGCGTTACTGTAGTGGGAATGAAGACGACCTGGCTAGTAGTCCTGGTACTTCTTTTGTCTTCTACATCGTGATTCATGAGCTTTTGCCAATCGTACTGTTTTGGCACTTCAAAGCAAGAAATGAAACAAAGAGGTGTTTGATTGTTTGGCAATTGGCATTTGCTGGGGAGGAAGGACGATGGGACGGGTGCAAGGGAACTTGAAACGACATTGACAAGGCCGAAATAGTGCTGTGCATGACTTCGACGGTGATTCATGATTTTTTTTTGGCAATGATTTTGAAAGTAGACCTTTTTCCTGGGTCAGGTTAGCCCTACACATGACTTGAAGAACTTACGTACTTGTCCAAGCCTGACCCGACCATTAAATTCGAACAAGATTTCTTGTCCAAACCCGTCCCTATTTTGGAGGAATGGAAAGAAAGCCCAGACCCGCTACATGAATAACAAATTGATTTAATATAATCTTTATTTCTCAAATAAACATATGAAAATTATTTTCAAAAATAAATTAAACGACAAAGTGATATAAATCACATAAGGTATCAAATTTCTTCCTAGTATACAAAAAAGATTTATAACATTTAAATCGGGGCAGCTGCCGCCGTTGCCTCCATTTGTAAACCCCTCTCTGTGCGCACCTCTCTGTGTGCACTAGACATCAATCCCATGCCGTTGAGACCGGTGTTCTGATCCAGCTTTAACTGGAAATGAGGCGCAAGTTGGGACTAAGGCGTACCTACACGTGCATCTGAGCTAAATGAAGAGATGTTAAGTTGAAACATACCCCACAGGGTTAAGTTTGAGAGCTGGTTTGTCGTCCTGCAGGTCTGCCTCTGACCAAGGCACAACTAAACTCCACGCACGGCAAGCTCCAGGTTCCCTCTGTTAGCACAAAATAATTGATCTGTTAGCTCCGGACGGTTTTACAACTGACTGAAGAAAACAGATATTCTTCTTACCTAAACAGATGTCGGCAAATGCAAGGAACGTGAACTTATGACAAAAGGGGAAGCTGATTACCACCAAGTCATCCAATTTGTCCGACGTTTTCTGCATTTGAGTATAGAATAGCAAACTACACTCTACTACTCACATGGCAAAGCCTCTGTTGTATAGATTGCAGGAGCTGGACACTTGACACTTCATATCCTCATAACTAGGTGTAAGTTTGTTAAATCCCAAGCCCCCATTCTTTAGTAATTCTGGCAGTCTCAGATCATTAAAACTCCTACCCTCATTCCAGCTACCCCCATGGCCATTTGACATATGAGCATTTCTCAACTGTTGGATTGTTGATTGTGGGAATGAAAAAGGATTATATGCTGGAGATTGATCCAGTAGCATGGGTGACCTGGTGTAAGTATCATCGGACTGAAAGATTCTATTCCTTGAGTGGTCTTGGAGTGCCTGGTTCTGATGTGAACAAAGAGATTGTTGCATCAGCAGCCTTGCATCATGGTCAAAGCTGCTATGGCGTGGAGCTGAAGTCCTTGTGTCAGAGCCTGGGTTACGGTCAAAACTGCTGTGGTGTGGCGCTGAAGTCCTTGTGTCAAAGCCTGATTTATTCAACCCCATAGCCAAAACCCCTTTACCAACTTCAAGTATTGCAGGGTCAAGGAATTCAACATCTCCAGAGCCATCAATACTATTAATTTGTGCTACAGAAGTTTGGAGCAAATGACTTGCTGGATGGAAAAGAGAACAGTTAAGAGTCCGCCAAAATAGAAAAGAAAATAAATGTTGAAAAAACACAAACCAGCACTGTCAAGAGCCAAGTTCATTCTTGCAGAAGTCGAAAACCCCGGAGGAGGTGTCCTACTTGGAACTGGAAATCCAGGTGGGATTGAAGCTGGAGATTTTGAGACTGTGCAAATGAAAGAAAGAACATCAATGAAATAGTTAGACGTAAAATAGAAATACACGTCATGTATAGACACTATGATGAACAAGTGAAAACTTATTAATTATAAATCCACTAGATCACCATCATCACAAAACATTAGTGCTAAGATGACTTGTCATCTTACATATCAGAACATTAAAACTAGAGAGACCGATAGAACAAAAAGAGGAGCAGACATTCGCCCTTCCAACGTAACACCCCCATCCTCCAAACCGCCAATTACCTCCCAAAAGAAAGGTGATACATTAAATAGAACTCACCAGAAAGCTTAGAAGACACAATAGTATGATTGTTGAGCAGATTATTGGACTCCTCATA